TGGATGTGTTACGAAGATTACGAGAGAGTGTGCGACGAAAACGGTCAGAAATGTGGAGAAATGGGAACTGGTTGCTTCACCACGACAATGCTCCAGCCCACACAGCTTTGACGGTCCGACAGTTTTTGACAAGCAACAACATGATGATTGTGCCTCATCCACCTTACTCACCCAACCTGGCTCCGTCGGACTTTTTTTTGTTTCCACGGATGAAGAGAAGTCTGAAAGGAAAGCGATTCCGTGATGTGGATGAAGTCAAAGAAAACACGCTAAAGGCTTTGAACAGTATCCAGCCTCAAGAATTCCAGCACTGTTTTGAGCAGTGGTAAAAGCGTTGGGACAAGTGCATTAATGCACGTGGACAATACTTTGAAGGGGACTAATATACAGTTCAATAAAAATGCAAAAATAAAAAATAACAAAAATAAATTCTGGTTATTTTTGGGCCCCCCCTCGTACATAATTTAAAACACAGATTCTTTTGTTAAGCTGTGTAGTTGATATTTGAAACACTTTTGATATTTTGACTGTCTAACAAAAGACAAGGAAAAATATTTCTGTTGTATGCATTATTGAAATATTTTGTATAATAAGGTTAGCAATAATGGATTTGCAGCTGCAATAAAAGGGAATAGAAATCAGTGCAATAAACAGCACTGCAAGAAATATATTTGGGAATTATTTAATGGAGTACACGTTTCACTCTTATTTGCTATCAGATCCTCATCAGTTGAAGTGGAGTACAAATAAAAAAACTTCGTGGTTCTAGTCCGCAAGTGAACTATACTGACTGAGTGACCGCCACTTGTCAGTGAAGTTAGTGCCAACTTTAGCAGATAGAGGCTGTTGCGTGGTCAGCTCAACGAATCCCCATGGCCATTAATTTCGGTTTTATAGACTAGAGCCACTATTTCCTTGAAATAGCTTCTCAGTTATCCTCATGAGGCTGAGTGGACCCTGTTGCAGACCCACTACTTCTCAGAAAATCTGGTAGCGCTGGGAATTGAACCTGGCCCTCTGGATCTGTAGCCAGGAACTCTGACCACTAGACCACAGCATGAGGAATTGATAATTGCAGCTCAGTAAGAGAGGCTGTAGGAGCCACATCACTATTTTATATACTCCAAGAGAGATTTGTAAAATGAAAAGATTTTGTTTTGTAATACCCACAATACACAGAATAGTGCAAAGGATGTTAATGAATGAGATACTGTTTGTAATGCCTTGTTGTAGTCATTGTAGATGTACAGTAGGTATTTGTAATGAGTTCATTGAAAAAATAATTCTTATATGAAAATAACATTTTATTTATACCCGATAAGTTGAGTATGTAACATTGTTAATGTATTCTTGTGCCACAGCGAGTTCTCTCAAGCTCTTCTGCGCTTGACACGAATGATACGTGGCATTGGAGATCCACTTGTAGCAGTTTATGCACACTGCTATTTGTGTCGAGTTGGTATGGCTGTTACTACAGGGGACAGAGAATACATTAAAGAGAACTTCTATGATTTTGTGGCATCCTATAATCAAGTAAGCTATAATAATTTTTGTTTGTATAGTTCAGTCAACAACATCTGCTAGATATATCAAGAAACCAGTTTAAAATTTATTACTAGCAACTTGTATGTTACAATTGAATGGGAAATCTGAGAGACCTTCATATTCTTGTTTTTGTATATTTTTGAAGATGAATTTACTGCAAACATATTTTAAGCACGTTATGGCTAATATTAAGAACTGTAGACAGTTTGCTTATTTTGATGGAAAATGCTCTTATGAATAAACAGTGTAATTCTATTCCATTTCCTGTCACCTACACTTTAGCAGACAAAATTCCTGTGATGTATTTTTAGACATTCTATGCTTTATAGTATTGTTACATGTACACCCATTGCTAGGCAACAGGTTGGTAAACACTTTCCTGTTAACACAGATTCTTGGTAAACAGTCCATTGCTAGATTATGAAATAATTCTGACAATAATAATTATAAATCTTGTAATAAGGCATGGTTAACATCAGGAATTAAGACCTCGCGTATTAACAAAAGGAAGCTTTTCTTAATTCAGAGAAATAGCAACTATGCAAATTTGACTAAATATTATAAAGGATATTGCAAAATTTTATCAAATGTTATCAAATTAGCCAAAGAACGGTATTATAACAATATCTTAATCTGCTCAGATAATGAAACTAAAACTACTTGGAATATTATAAAGAATAATTCAAATATCAAATCAAATGCTCATAATATAACTTCAGTTATGGTAAATGATAATCTGTCTTCTAATGGTCAAATTATAACTGAGACATTTAATAAATATTTTGTATCAGTTGCTGAAACATATACACATGGATAACTGTGATGCTAAAGTTAAACTTAGTTGGGAAAATCCTATATCTTACTTATTCAATGTATTAAACAACCGTTTCCTGCTATTAATTTGAAATGTGTATCATCTATGGAAATAGAAGACATAATGAACTCACTAAAAATAAAGAATTAATTTGGATATGTTGGGATATCAACAAAAATTTTAAGATATAGCATTTCTTACATTTCTTCTCCTCTAACTTATATATGCAACATAATGTTGGCTACTGGAATTTTTCCAGCAAGATTAAAATTTTCTGAAGTAAGACCTATATTTAAAAGAGGGGATAAGAGTAATGTATCTAATTATATACCTATTTCCGAGTTAACGTCATTTTCAAAGATTTTTGAAAAAGTAATTTATAATATAGATTATATCATCATATTAAATATAATTATATTCTTGCTAATGAACAATTTGGTTTAAAGCATGGTTCGTCGAAGCACATAGTGTCCTGTCATTTGATTAATAATATATTGACAGCATTAAACAACAAACTGCTTGTTGGTGGTATTTTTTGTGACCTACAGAAGACATTTGACTGTGTTAATTATGATATCTTGCTGCCAAAAATGGAATGCTATGGTATCTCAGAAAGAACTTATAATTTAATTAAATCTTATTTACGACAAAGATATCAAAGAGTATTGGTTGATTTTGATTAAAAAAAATATTACTCTGAATGGCAATTGCTTACTGACGTGTTCCTCAAGGTTCCATACTTGGACCTTTGTTGTTTCTGTTACATGTTAATGACTTGCCTAATGCAATATCTGATATATTCAATCCAGTTTTGTATGCTGCTGATAATAGTTTGATAATTACAAATCCTGACACTCAAATGTTTGGAAAAATATAAACACTGCTATATTGCAAATAAATGGTTTTATATTAATTTATTATTAATTTTGGAAAAAAAAAAAATATTTTCTTCAGTTTGTAACTAAAAACTCTAATGTAACAGATCTTCATATACAATATGAGAATAAACAAATTTCTATATACATAACATGAAATTTCTAGGATTAACAATTGATAATAATTTATCATGGAATTACCATGTTGAACCAATAATACCTAAATTAAATAAAGTGTCTTATTTAATTAGATTCTTGAAATCACTCTTGTCTCAAATTATTAAAGATGGTTTTTTCTTATTAGTTCACTCAATTATATCATATGGTATGACCTTGGGGACAGAAGAGGATATTCCCATTTGAAGGAGAAAGCTCTAGATCGCATTAAGTGAAGGAAATGTTTTGGAAGAGACTGTGGACATGTTGTCTGACAGATTACTGATGAATGAATGAATGAATGAATGAATTATATTTTGGGGCATATCAACTCATCGTAAAATTATATTTAAATTTCAAAAAAGAATAATAAGAATTATTATGGGTTCTAATAGTAGGGACTCCTGCTGTGATCTATTTAAGAAATTACATATTCTTCCACTCCAGTCTCAATATATATTTTCTCTACTTATGTTTGTTGTTAACAATAAAGAGTTTTTTAAAACAAATTAAGATGTTGATGGGCGTAATACAAGATTTAATTATGATTTACATTTTCCAGTAGCAAATTTATCAGTATTTCAGAAAGGCGTTAGTTATACTGGTATTAAACTTTTTAATCATCTTCCTTTGGCTCTTAAACAACTTGTAAATGACACTTCTAAATTTAGAGCAGCCCTAAAGAGATTTCTTCTCACAAATTCCTTCTACACTGTAGAGGAATATTATTGTTGGAAATAAAGATTTAGATTTTTGTATTTTATTGCTGCTGTTCCATAAAAGGAGCGTTGTTTACATTGTCTGTGCAATTGTCTACAGAACGAAACATTAGGGATATGATTGGATAATTGTGACTGAGAAGTAGGAGTGTGGAACTCATGCAAACGATATACTTGTTGCGAAGTTGTTGACTGAAGTAAGGAATAAGAGAGTTTTAGTAGCAACAAGTACAAATAAGTAAGTAAAAAAAGGTAAAGCTATCCCTGTAACAGGCCATGAAGGCCCATAGGTTGTGAGACGTTGAGGGTCCCACATTATCTAGACAATCGGCTCAAAGATGGCAGTAAGGTTGTCAGCCTTACGCGCTGGCTGCGCTTTGCTCCCCAGGAAAGTTATTTAATTAATTCCTGGTACTCACTTCTGTTAGAGGCTGAGTTGACCCCAGGGCCATAGTGTGGCTGGAAGGATTAGGTCAGTTGAAAAATAGTCCAGTGACCTCATCAGGACTTGAATCTGTGACCTTCCGGCTTGTAGCATAGTGCTCCAACAAGTACAAATAGATTGTTTTAAACCATAGATTGAGTTTTTTGGTATACTGTTTTATTATGTAATTCTGTAATTGGCTTTATTTTCTTGTAGATTTATTTTAAATAGAGATGTTGTATACAGAACTGACAACATTTATTTTATGATGGCTTGTTACATACATTATGAAATGTATGTCGTTTTGCTTGATACATGTATTATATTCTGTGGCAAGTTCTGTATCTTGTACCAATGATCGATCTTTGAATGCAATAAAGATATGATATAATATGATAACAGAAGACGTGTTCTCAGTGTGGTCTGTGCCATGCCCAGTGGTAGGCAACAGAACTGTGAACATGTCTACGATAATAGGTGTTTTCTGGGCATGGTCCATGCCAAAGCTTTATATGGGGATAACAGAGGTCATTTATTTGAGTAGTTGCTCTGAGAAGCTGTGAATCAAGGACACAAAGCTGTCAAGGAAAAGAGCTGGGAGTACAAGGATGAAAATGGAGCATGCCCTTAATGAATTGTGAAGAATAGTTGAGTACAGATTAGGATAGAGGAGTACTAAGTGACTGAAGGCAGGAAGACTTCATAGTGATTTGAAGTGATAGTTTCTGTGTTGGGATTTGTTGCTAGGAGACGACTAGTGGAAACAGAGAATCCTAGTGCGTGTGCAATGGTGAACTGTAAATTGTGTAAATCAGCTGTAGCACTGTATTAATGGTAATTAAGAGAGAGTAACTGAAGTGCCAGTAAATTCAATCTGAAGTAGAACCTGCTATTTTTGGCATGTGTACCCCCATACACATGACAGTACGAATTCAAAAAAATTTCTGTTTTATTTTCGTCCTTGGAACAGGTGGATAAAAAATATATATATTTTAGTTCTCAACATTTTTTCCTTTCTCCAAGTCATGAGTAAGAGATTCTTTCTATGTATGACGATGATTTAGCACATGTTTCTAACCTTAACATTTACAGTATTTTATATGGATACTGTTTTTCTGCTTAGCTCTTTAGCCCCAGTGTTCGAGCAGAATTAAACAGACAAAAAGTAGACCTGTCTACATATTTGACACTTTACACTCCTGCTCTGGACTGGATCTTACAAGGTGTGGCAGCCAATGCCCCTGAGAAGCTTTTAGTAGAAATTCTAACCCGATGCAAGGAGAAATGCAACAATAGTGCACTTCTGCTCAACACAATCATGGCTGCGTTCAAACCGTCATATATTGCAGCACGTGCTCTTCAGTTCATTGAAATGGTGTCAGCTTGTGATGAAGAGGGTGAGTCTTTGACTCTGTCACTATATTTTATAAAAAAAAAAGCGTACATTTACCTTGTCAGTTTACTTTTAAGTTATTCATTCATTTACATTTATTTATTACCTATTTGTGTTTTAAAACAGCACACATGCACACACTCACATATTTATTTACGTTTTCCATAATTATTTTCGCACTGTGTTCTCTAAATATAGGGAATATGAAACACATTTCTGTATGTACTTATAATTTCCATGCAGTGGTCAGAAGCTGCAGTTAATATTGCAATGTCAGATTTATAATTTTAGGCCTTTACATTAAAAATTTTGGCAAGCCATGGAGTTTTGTTTCCCACATGCAGCAGATGAAATGTATTAGTAACCCCGAAATTGTTTTTAATATAATTACAATTGTAATTGAAGCATAAATATAGACCTATGCTTCAGCTCAATGGAGTGCCTGGGGCATTGTACTGTAGAGTTTATTTCGTAAATAAAAACTGTACTGAAAAGAAAGGCTGAATATTAATTTCTGAATTAATGATTAGAAACCTCTGAGTCTTGTGTACTTGCACAGTTGTACCTATATGTAGGCGAGTGAGATTAAATCATGTGAAACCATATTGTTTCCATGTACAGGGTTTCCACAGTACTTGCTGTTTCGAACACTGGGACTGTGTTTGGCACTGGCAGACCCTCCAGCTGAACATCGTCTTCAAATTCTGAATGATGTGTGGCGTGTAGTTAGTCGCCTGACAGATGCAGGCCATTATGTGAGCTGCGCTGAGGTGTGGATACAATTTGCTGTGAGACATTTCTCGGTATGTGAAAGAGAATATGCTACTAGGGAACTAGTATTATTACAGTCAGGTATTAAGACACTTTCATATTACAGAATATCTTGTGGTTTATCTTCATCTGTTTCTTATATGTGTGTAAGTCCAGTCATGATTATTCATATTCATAATTTAGCCTGGTATAAATAAAACTGAAATACGACGAATTTTTAAGTGGCCTTACATTCTGTATTACTTCAATAAATGATTTTACATTGTAAAATAACATTTATGGTACATGGTCAACATTAGTATCATGAATGTGACAGCATACTTCAAGCTGTTTAATTTTTTCAGATATTCTTCAAACAGTGCCCTGTAGTATAGTGGACAGTACATGTGATATATTTTCCTGTTGGTCCCATAAACTGTTTGGTATGGAATCATATAAAAGAAGGTAGCAGGTTCAAGTCCCGATGAGGTCATTGGATTTTTTTCAATTGACCTAATCCTTCTGGCAGTACTATGGCCCTGGGGTCGACTCAGCCTCTAACAGAAATGAGTACCAGGAATTAATTAAATAATTTTCCTTGGGAGTAAAGCGCGGCCAGCACATAAGGCTGAGAACCTTACCGCCATCTTTGAGCAGATTGTCTAGATAATGTTGGACCGTCAATGTCTCACAACCCTATGGGCCTTCATGGCCTGTTACAGGGATAGCTTTACTTTTTTACTAGTTTTTAACAGGTAGGTATCTGACAATATGAGATCCATAGAATTTAAGGGACAGGGAATTTTCCTGTCACAGTGGCCTGCACAGTGTTGTTGACACACCACCAATTTATTGAAACATTTTAATGAACTGTATTGTATGTTTTGCTGGTTGAACTGAAAATGTATGTGCTTTTCTGATCACTTAAAACTTTATGCACTGTTCTGGTCCTTACCATATGAACAACTGCCTATGATAAAAGACTTTTTAACACATACATTTTACATCAACAGCTACTTGATCTGACAGTAAACACGTATGGACAAACAAACAAACAAATTCTGTCTGACACATAGCAAAACAGAGTTTCTATGTATATCTTTCAAGCTACTTTACACTGTGCCATACTATTACAGGTCACTTTTGATATTAATTCCCATAGTAAATATTTCTTCTTAGCTTTTAGTGGATTAAACTCATACCAGTTCAGATTTCATATTCATCTTTCAAATGGTCTTACTGATCTCCTTGTTTGTATTGAAGATCCAGGTTTGGAGTGTTAGTTATATATTTTTGTAACGTGGTTAATCATTTTCATCTGTAATTATCTATTTTTCTTCAAATACTGAATAAATATTTAACTTTAGTTGTGTATCTTTGTTTATAATTTTACTTAACCCACTATATCCTCTCAGAGTTTTTAATAAACATCATTTCCATTGGTTGAATGGAAGTCAACTTTGACTTCCATGTGAATGTATGGGAACTGCCATTACTTTAAAAATTTACAAGTTCTCTTATTTTTTTACTGAAGTGCAGGCTTATTTTGTGATCAATTTGTGTTTACTGATTTCAGATTCATATTGCAAGAAGTCAGACGGGGTTAGGTTGAATGGCCACCTCTTTGAAATTTTCACACTCATGTTTTTATTTCTTATGTGGGGAACTCCATGTAGTATCTATCAGCAGCACTTTCACAGTATCCTACTGTTTCCCCACAGTTAATATGCAGCCACTAGAAATTATAAGTTAACTATAATTCAATGTACAAACTATTTTTTTTGGGGGAATTCTGTTTGCATCTATGTTTTAGTCCAGAGAAGTAAACACATTCCTTGGTGATATCATCCGTCACATGACTCCAGAAAGAGCATATGAACATCACTATCCACAACTGCAAGCTGTTGTAAACAAAGTGCTTACCCATACAAGAGATTTTGAATCACTGTTTACCATGGTATGTTACACTGCATAGCATACTGTGTTTTCAGTGTACTGGTTAAGTAAATGTTTTCATATAGTAAAGGCCACATTATGTGTGTGAAGGGGAACTGGCTATTCTGATTGAGATTGTTCATGGTGTTTTTCAGTTAATCGAGGTAAATGATGTAGTAGTGCCTTCAAATAGGCCAAGACAGCTTCCATCCAAATACTTCATGACTGTTCTCACATCTCACTTCATGTTACATGACCTCTGCAGCTAACACATTATCATTCACTAGCCTACAAATCAATCACTCTACCAATCAACTGAGTATTGCTAATGTTGAAAATTTACTTGTTTGAGAAGATTTGGTACATGTGATACGAGAATTTATGGTGAAGAAAAGATTGTCTTCATTGTTTTCCTGAACACACTATTGCTTTACTTGAATTAATGAAACAATTTCATTTTCTCTGTTCAGAAACAACATTATTCTTAGAAACATTCACATTTTATATTATTCTTTGATACCTACATTTGTTTTGGAAGGGAGCCGGGATAGCGTAGTTAGTATAGTGGCTAGACCGTGCCATAGCTCAAGTGGTTAGTCACTGGCTTCCCACCGCGGTGACCCGGGTTCAATCCTGGGTCTGGTCAAGTGGGATTTGTGGTGGACAAAATGGCACTGGGTCGGGTTTTCTCCGAGTACTTCGGTTTCCCCTGCCAGTCTTCATTCCACCAAATTCTCCATCATCATAATCACCCGGGGCAGGCTACAATAGGCCAATCAGTGGCTGCTGTGCCAAGTGGACCCAGTTGGACTCCACCCCCCACTAAGTGAACTAATATAGTGACTAGCTATGGGCTGGAGTTTGAGTCCCTGTGAGGTCAAGAATTTTCTCTTCTTTAGATCACCCAGACTGGCTATGGGGCCCACCCAACCTATCCTATGGGTACCCGGGCTCTTTCCCTGGGGGTAAACTGGCCGAGGAATTAAGCTGACCACTCAGCTCCAGCTAGTGACAAGGTCAAGAAAAATGTGGATCTATACATCCACTCCCCCATATGCCTTCGTGGTGTAGTGCTTAATTAGTTAAGTACTGACGCTGATCATTCTGAGCCCTTATTTATTTGGATGATTATAGATGACCATGAAGTTTATTTCTAATTAATTCTCGGTAATTTAAATTTCAAAAGTCTTATGTTTCGATATTACTGGAAATGTATTGTGATCTTTAATATCGTATTTCATTGTCTGGGACGTGCAATACGGTGTTTATGTTGAAAACTTCTAGATTCTGGCAGAAACAAGAAGTCCGGAGTTATGACATTTACGATCAGTCATAAATTTAGCTCGGGTACAGGGAACCGGACGCGCCTAAAAGGACAAGTCAGAGCTTGTTACAATTGCCTGTGAATGAGGGCCAGTATGATTGGGTTGCCTCGTTCAAGCTTCCCACGGAAGATGGGATGAAATGTATATGTCAACACCATCTTTCGAATTCCCGGCCCAGGCGTGCAAGCCATTCCACAAAAGGAGAGACTTTTTCACAATATTCCGAACTGAACGGACGTGACCCTTGCACGCTCCGAGACATAGCTAGCCGATAGTGTAACGCTGTAACTTAAAGCTAAGAATACATTAATTTAACAGTGTGGTGAATTAGCAGGTGAATAAACGTCAATTGGCTTAACTCTCAGAAAAACGCTTTCTTCGGCATCGCTACCCTGAGACTCATGCGAACCGACCCAGCTAGTTTCCCGTACCTATGCCGATCTTCCTTAGTTTGATCTGTGAGAACAACTTCCAGTAGCCATCATACACTGTCCTAAGGTAGAAACAGGTGTAGCAGGGATAACACCATTCCGACTGCGCTAATACAAAACAAAGGTGGGTTGGAAAAGAGCGGTGTTAGTACAGAGACATCCCTCAAGACATACATACAATTTTTAAATTCTACAATGAATAATTTTGTGTTAGGAAATAATCAACAAAATTGTTTTGTGTAGAGAATTTGCAAATATAGCAGTTCAAATGATGGGTTTTATTCAAGAGGAGAAATTATTAAACAGTAATCTGAGTGATAATTTTTTTATCATCCAAACATGGAATTTTAAATTTTATTTCCTGCCATTGCAGGACAAATTTTTACCTCTTCTAGATCTCTTTCAAAAGGAAAGCATAAAAGTGGAAGTATGTAAGAGTATCATGGATGCATTCACTCACAATAATGTTCAACAAGAACCAACAAATGACCCAGTTATTATCAATGCTCTGATGTTTATCTGCAGAGTTATGCATGATTCTGTCAAGTAAGTGTAGCTTTTATGTGTGTTATAATAATTTTGTATCTCATGGACATACTTTGATAGTTGTGAGACATCACTCACACCTTCATGTGACAGCTGCTATGACTGAAATATCAATGGATGTAAGTCTAAATAATTTCCTTACTGAGCAATTATTATGAAATATTTAAATGAAATCTATGAAGAAATTTTGAATGGACAAAATCAGTGTGTTATGACGGTGGGTTAAGTATCATGCAATGTCTGTATCAGTAAAGTTACACCCTATAAAAAAAATTGACATCAAATTAAATAAATAAGAGTAAATAAAGAAACACAAATTTGAAGTGCCCTCACCGTCCGATATGGCGGTTTTGGGGTCCATATCCGACACTTTTATTAGTTTCATATGGCTTGTAGTTTCTCTGAAATGTTACAGTGCATTAACAGTAGATGATGAGAAGAGGCAGATTGGGAATCTTATCTCAGGTTTTGTCAAGAAAGTGGATTATGGTCGAGACTTTGAACAGCAATTGAGTTTTTATGTGGAGGCCAGATCGGCATTCCCAAACTTAGATTCTGTCCATGCACAATTAGTGCAGGTAAGCTAGTTCTTATTATTGGTTAGTTATGAAAACCATTTATAAAAGCAATTATATTTGAAATGAGGTATGAAAATGTCAAATGTAAAACACTGTTCTCATTAAGTGTACAACTAGCCGTGTTTCTGTCATTTAAACAGGGAAACTTTTGCATCTCATTTACCATGAGGAAAATGGCTGTTTAAACAAATAGCCATAACAGTATTTACTGGTGCTATTCACACACCTTTTTTAAAAAGGTTTCTCTGATTCCACTTTGGGTTCAGATATATAGGAAATACATATCTATATTTGTGGCATAAGAATATTGTACTTTTAAGTCAACAAATAAAACATGATTTAATGTAAATATGGTGTAGTAATACAAACTAACTGCAGGACTGAGATGTGAATTCTGAAGTCTATCAGTTACATAAAATACCTTTTCTTCCTTAATAACAAATTAAATCTGACACAAATTAGGTACGATACAAGATTAAAGACACCATTTAACAAGTGACAGACATGCTTCAGAATAACTTTCCTGTCTTCAACAACATGCTTTCTTTTCTTTTTTTAATTTTTACAGGAGTCTGAAGTATCTGCTTTTAATTACTGGAATGTGTATTAAGCTTTTCCAATTCAGGTTGTGGATAACTGTAACCAAAATAGAAATTTGTGTATAGAGTGTGACTGTTTTTAATATATTCTGATGTTGCATTATGATGTATTACAAAATCAGAACAGATTTAATTTAAATTGGCTTGGGTTTCATAATTTAGATTTTAATGTCATTATTATAAACAAATCAGTATTACCATTAAGGCACTTTTCTTGCAGAGTGTGAACCGTTTGTCTGTGGAGACACGACGCATTGTGAAGGGACATCATACTCGCAAAACAGCTGCCTTCGTACGAGCATGTGCAGCATACTGTTATATTACAATTCCATCCATCACATCTGTACAGACTCGACTAGAGCTATATCTGTTGTCAGGAGAAGTTGCATTGCTCAACCAGTGCTTGGGACAAGGTTGATTTATATCTTATACAGTATAACTACAGATTTCAAAATAGTATCAGGATGTCAGTACCGTATCGAGGAAAGTAGTTATGGTTTCTACTAAGGCTATATAACATGTTTTTTCCTATTGTGTGAGAAGTCAATTTAGGGATTGTTCTATGAAAATAGGTCACTACATCTTTCTCTTTAGTTTATGAGAGTTCAGATTTGAAGCTAGAGCTTTTGTAGGGATAGTTAGACAGGGATTCTGATAGGGATTTCTGTTCCCACCACATTGTCCAGAATGGCCCTGGGGCCCACCAAGTCTCTTATTATTCTGGTGTGTCTGTCCCTAATAATGAAACAGCCAGAGTATGATGTTGAATATCACCTCCATCTAGTACTGAAGGAAGCGATACATGAAGCATATCCTCCATGTCCATAACATGTTTTTTTCCTTTTGTGTGAGAAGTCAATTTAGGGATTGTTCTATGAAAATAGGTCACTACATCTTTCTCTTTAGTTTATGAGAGTTCAGATTTGAAGCTAGAGCTTTTGTAGGGGTAGTTAGACAGGGATTCTGATAGGGATTTCTGTTCCCACCACATTGTCCAGAATGGCCCTGGGGCCCACCAAGTCTCTTATTATTCTGGTGTGTCTGTCCCTAATAATGAAACAGCCAGAGTATGATGTTGAATATCACCTCCATCTAGTACTGAAGGAAGCGATACATGAAGCATATCCTCCATGTCCTCTAACTTCCTTCGCAGCATGGCTTTGAGACACAGAGACATCTTTGTTTTGCAGGACTTAGGATGGAATGTAGTCCTGCTTCTTTTATGTCTATAATTTCTTTACTTCATGTTTGCTTATGTTAGGCTATCTGTTGTGTTACTTTAGTGCTGTTCTCCCACTGTCCTATTATAATTGAATTTCCATTAATGTTAGCTTGCAGAATCTTCTTCTAGAATTATTTGCTTTATATGGATTGTACAACCAGTATCCAGTTTCTTCTGCCTTCTTACAGTATATCCTGATTTATTGGAGGTCTTTCCCCTCTTCTTGATGTCTTCTAATACCTGGTTGAGCCATCTTGCTCTAGGTTGTCCCATAGGTGTCCGTCTTTCAAGTTGCTTTTCAGGATTCTTATTCTATCCACCCCTTTTACATGGCCAAACCATTGTTGTTGTTTTCTTCTAACAGTTAAAAAATGTTGTATTGCAGTTTTTGCTTTGAAAATGTCATTTATAAGTCTGGTCCTCCTTGTAGGGATCCATGTATTAGCATTAAATGTTAGAATTATTTTAATAGATATTTGAAATTGTTTGCATTGGTTTGTGATCTCTGTGTTCCACAACATTACATTTATAATTTGAGTTTTGAATAATTTTGTATCTTTAAATTGACCTCTCCACTCATTCTGAAATTATTCATTTCCCAAAGAAATAAATAAGTACATTCTGTCTACATTTTAAACTGTTGTGTTAACTTTTGTCCTGACTTTTTAAACCTTCAGTTACCAGATAGACTTGAAAGGATTCTGACGATGGTGTAACTTCAGTTACCAATTTATCCATATTCATATTTAGTCTCTGTTCCTTTATGATAAAGTTCCAACAATTTAGTTTCCTTTCAGCTTCTTTTCACCTTTGCCCCAAATCAACCCATCATCTGCAATGTTCTCATAGCTGGTCTTTTGATTTGTCAGTTTCGTCCGTCACAGTGTGATGGAAGACTTGTGACAGGATACTTCTTGTTCTCAGTCCACTACTTGTTTTGAACCACGCTTATCTTCCTGATTTTGTTGCAACATGATTTGTATCATCATATGTTGGCTTCACATTTTCTTTAAGGTATTTTAGTACTTTTAATGCTCTTATGCGTGACCAGATCTTTTCTGTTCCTACTGTCATATGCATTTTCAGAATCTATAATTGCATGCCCCATATCCATACCTTAGTCATATGTTTCTCAGTTAATGTCAAATCTGCCATGGATCATGAATTTCCATGTCACATAATATAACATATACAACTTTCAGAAGATACATTTATTAAAGAGTACAAGGTTTTTAAGTCGTATTTAAATCCAATTCATTCTTACTGTTTCACTGTTTATCCAGGTCATTATAATTGACTATATATAGTAACTTCCCATGCATATTTATGCACATTAAAAATGCCAGTGGATGCAAACTTCTTCAAGTGCTCTCTGTTGGGAAGCAAGAAGCAAAATGAGTTAAATGATCCCAAATGCAGCCATTGGAAACCAACCAGTATATTTTTTATATGCAGGATACCTATAACTCATAATTTTCATTGAAAATAAAAGTTAATGCCCAAAACATTTCGGACATATGAACGAAACCACTGCATTTAATTTGAGTGGCGTTGTTTTCGTTTATTTGTTGTTTACAAATATTCAGTGATGCATATTTTGTAATTACATAATGAGTGAAAGTTATCAGCAATTTGTAAATCATCTGTTTGTGTATCACATATACTTTTTTTTTTTTCAGTGGATGCATGTTTGAAAGCTGCATTAAGTTTGGTACCAGGACTACCCCGGACAATAGAAGTGGATGGAAAGCAACGCAGTTCTGAGCCATATTTAATTTCATACCTCTGCCATTTCCTGTCCACACTTTTGGTTGTACCGGTCAGTCATTAGACACTCTGATAATTAGTAATTTCAGTCTCTTAACTCTTTTGAATCTGTAATTCACCTAAATAAGATTTAAAACTGCACTTCCTCCCTCACAAAAAAGAGACTGAATCTCCATTACAAAGACCATCTAATTGTTGCTTGATAGGGGAAAAACAGTTTATTCTGATAATCTTTTAAAACCCATAAATACACTCTATTTACAAAGCACTTATCATATTTCTAAAAATAGTTCTCTGTATGAGAACAGTAAATGAACAAGAATTTCTTGAAGTTTGGGACAGAAAAATTAACAAATAAACACTGAGAAATTGTTGTTATAAATTTGATCTAAAAAGTTTGAGGCTTTCATGTGCTATTATGTAATACTGAATAAGATGTATATAAGATGTGTACAATGAATGATGAGTGGCTGTGGACTGGGTGTATGACACCTGAAAAACTGAATAAGAAATTCTTAAGTTAAAGACTGGAAAATTAATGTTGAAATTAACATTGAGAAATTATTTTTTTTTTGTAAATTTGATCTATAAAAATTAGGCTTTCACATGTTATTACATAATACTGAATAAGATGTAGATGACGTGTATAAGGAATGACGAGAAGCTGCAGACTTGGACATGGCCTATTTCTAGGCATTATCCCAGCATTCACCTGGAGAAGCCACAGGAAATCACAAAGCGTGTCAGAATAGCCAGTAACATGATCTAGATTTTGAAACTGGTACTTCCCATATAAAAATCTAGGAACTACATAAATCTTTAAATATTCCATCCTATTCCTAGCAAGTTCCACCTTAACTGCGGATCTCATTCTTGTATGTACGAAAAACTGCATCCCCAAGGGATAATTAACATAGGTTTATAGATACGACTTCCTGTTCATCCAAGGCCAATGCCCTTTGTGATCATTTTCTTTTTAATTCATGGAGAGGGATCGATTATTAGCTGCAGGCCCAGCTCCCAAGCTGAAAGGCTACCAATTATAGGCTGGTCCAGAACAGCTTATACGAGGGGGTACCAAAAAGAAACTTATTTTTTTTTAAACTTATTTATTCAAATTTTAAGCACAAACCTTCAATCCCCTTCAAAGTACTCTCCACTTACACTAATACACTTGTCTAGTCTTTTATTCCATTTTTCAAAACATTGTCTAAATTCATCTTTTGAGATGCTTGACAGCGCCTCCGTCGTTTTTTCCTTCACCTCAGCAACATCAGCAAAACGCTTTCCTTTCATGTCTCTTTTCATTCGAGGAAACAAAAAAAAAGTTTTGATCATTTCGGGACTCTTCTTTCAAAGCACAGCATGCTTCCACGCGACCTTGTTTTTGTTCAGCAGTCAGCAGTCGTGGCACGAATTTCGCAGCCACCCTTTTCATTCCCAAATCTTCTGTCAAAATTCGCTGAACTGAGCTCCAAGTCACTCCCGACAGCTCCACAATTTCTTCAATGGTCCGTCGTCGATCTTCCTTGATGATTTCACGAATTTTTTCAACATTTTCATGTGTTCGGGCCGTGGAAGGACGACCAGAACGAGGTTTGTCATCAATTGACATTTCACCATTTTTGAAATGGGAAAACCACTCAGACACTTGAGTTTTCCCCATAGCATCGTCCTTATACGCCTTTTTAACATTTCAAGAGTTTCTGTTCCACTTTTCCCGAGCAAAAAGCAGAATTTCACCGCCGCATGCTCTTCACGAAAATCAACCATTGCAAAAACGACGATCACGCAAAACAGTTGTCACTATAAACTCTGCCGAAACTAGTCCTTACCTTCTGAAGCAACGGTAGTCGCCTTATTGACTCAGGAATGTTAGCTCTATGCGCTCATAGCGGCAAAACGCGGTACTACAAAAGCTCTGCCCACAAAAAAATTAGTTCGGTTTCTTTTGGGTACCTCATCGTATAACATCTGATGCACCACACCACTGTGCCAAGAGACCCACAAAATTCTAATCATAAAACCTAAATGGAAAGGACTACATGTGAGAGCTGGGTTTAGATGAGGGTATATCAATATGGATATTCAAGAAAAGGAATTTGAATGTGGAGATAGGATTGAATTAGCTCAGGATAGGATCCAATAGCACACTTTTGTTCAGATTGCAATGTACATTTTGTTTTGTCCTTAGAACTCATATTTTATATCAAAGACACTAATTTCTTAACCTGAAATGTATTTTGGTGGGGGGGGGGGCTGTGGACGTAGTGTATGTCTTTGCACAGCAGAACTGTTCCAATCATAAGAGTGAAAAGGTATAACTAATCAAAATGATAACACCATGAAGGCATATAGGGAACGTGGTGGTAAAACATATTGCAGATTTCTGTACTGGACTGAAATGAGCAGCACTTTCAATTTCACCTCTCTGGGAAAAAGCATTGGTACTGGAGAGAAGCATGGATGGTCCTTACATCTGATCTGAATTTGGTGTAGAAAAAATTCACCGAGTTATCCTGGCTTTGTGAAGAAAGATCACATTAGCAATCTAATATATTCACAAATAATAAAAGTGAGTCAAAAGATACAAGAGTGTTATGAACTTTCAATACAATCTTGATATCTCTTTTCTGCATGCTCTGAATAAATGCATTACATATTGTCTGGGTAGAAAATTTACTTGCTTTTGAGTCCATTATGTTTTTCTAAATGCTGTCCTAAAACATTTTCCCCTGCTGATAACTTCTGAACTGTTGGACAAAATCTAACAGAGATTTAAGACACTGATGAAAACTGGACAAGTTAGAGAAGCCCAGCAGATGAAGCAGTGTATGTACGTACAACAACCCATGTGATTGTGGCAGCTGTTACATTGGTGAAACAAGCAGACCTTTAGAAGTATGCACCAAGGAGCACAAATATAACCTGACATGGGGTCTGCCTGAAAAATCAAAGTTTGTCTGACATGCATACAAAGAAGGCCACAAAACATGGTGGAAGGTCTTGCAGATTGAACCAAACACCACATACAGGAAATACAAGGAATCTGCCCATGTCTCTGATAGACCAGCCGTTCAACCCAGCTTGGATGTATCTCCCATCTGTACTCCTATTATTACAGCATAAGTAAAAAAACTACAACTTTGTCCAGTGTAGATTAAGTTGGAGTAATTGTGATTTCTGTGTTGGTACCATACAGATAATTTCTCTCTCCAGTGATGACTTCTATTCTGATAGTACTCTGGTGCTGGGCCTCATACATGTGGAGTTCTTTTAATGTTTTCAGGTTCTGTCTTGTGCTTGATTTGTATACCAAACTCGTGTTGGTGAAGGTGTCTGGAGTCTCCAAAATGTTGTGTTTTAAATAAAAACAGGACAGTTGATAATGCCCAGAAACATAATATTTGTATTAATGTCCCATCATAATGAACTTTTAGAGATGATAGATGTTTCTCTGTTGCGTAATACAATGGCTCTGTGCATGCACACTAGGAATTTCTGCTTCAAGGTTGAATAAAGTGTCTACATAGACAAACACCTACATGTCTTTTGCATGTCTAATGATGGAAATTCATATTTGCTGTAAACATCCACATCAATATTATTGTTTAAAACTTAAACTACAGCAAAATATTTGTTTCTGAATGTAACTAGGTAAATGTTTGCTTGTGAGCTGCTGCCTCAAAATTATTGATTTTCTTTTTTACCACTAAGGATAAGTGATATGTGACTAATGTGTTTCTAGGATTCACCTGAGCAAGGTGTCCTGTATCTGACACGTGGGCTATTGAATGTTCTTCAGCAATATGCGTGGGAGCCAACTAGTAATGCTCGTTGTGTGGTGTACCTGCATGTACTCGATATGTTGTCCGCTGCGGCACAAGAAACATATCTGTATCATATTGAGAAAGGTAACCGAGCCCCTCACATGTCTGTCTACATTTTGGAAGCTTTTGTACATTTCCCTCTGGATTTTTAATTTCTTCTGTCCTTGAGACAGTTCTGTAGTTTATTTAATAACACTCACTAACTCAGACTGTGTAATGTCAAATCAACACACGATAGTGAATAATGAATTGGAAGCAAGCAGCCATGGCCTAATTTCAAGTACTATCCCAGCATTTGCCTTGAGGGACCAAGAAAAACACAAAAAACCTTACAGAGTGGATAATTTTCAGTCCAGTGTGACATACAAGTTTACAACACTTCAGTCTTTTTCACCTTACATGTTTCGATTCAAAAGAATCATCCTCAGAGGCGCGCCACTACGATCAGGAAACACTGTCACATAACATGTTTTAAGCTATGAATAATGCTCACTATATAAATTTGTTATCACGGTAACTCTGTAATTAGTAGTGTGACGGACCAAAATGAGACAAATCAAATTACAAAAAACCTTGGTCAGAATATTTGCTGTCCCAGCCGAGATTTGAACCAGTCACCTCCCAAATATAAATGTGAGCCAGATCCAAAAGTAATATTTTATAGTAGATCATTATCACTCCTATAGTCATCCTTCTTATATGTATCATAACTGCTCCTGCAATGGCATAGTTGTGGTCATGTGTTGAGAGACACTTTGTAACTGAACTACTTTACAAATAACTATTAGTTTGTCTTAGCAATTATTTTATATAAATGCGTAACCCATAGTGACATAGTTTTGTGTTTATACTACACTAGAATTGGATGAAGACTTTCTGGAGGGATGCTGCTTGAAGTCACCAGTTTCTGCAAGCCATTGATTCACTTAACTTAGCTTAATTGGTCACCTTTAAAATTTGGGGCTTCACTAGAGTAATTATTTCGCGCCAATGGGATTTACTAATTAGGCTGCTGGAATCTTTAAATTAACAACAGATTCTAACTGTCCAAGCCGTGAGGTAAACTCATGTGGGTGACACTATCAAGCCAAGGTCTCACTTGTACTGCATTTATCAGTGTCAAAATTCTTAAAACTAATGCAGTAAAACACATACTAGATTAGCAAAGGAATGGATATAAGTTACCATAAGGCTATAAGAGTCAAACTATGTCTCCTTATTCATTTTCACAATGTAAATCTGAACCTTAACATAATTGACGATCATTATAAATAATGGCTTGTTATAGTATGACATTAATTTTTTACAGTGGATTCTAATGACATACTCTATGGCTCAGACCCAAAGTTCATCTCAGAAATCAACAAGATGTGTTCTGTATTACTGGAAGAAATTCTTTCCCACCTCAAATATTTGAATACAAATGAGCAGTTCCAAAAACAGGTAAAAGAAATATGTAATAACTAATCTAAGATAATCACAAAAATAAATAATTTCTTACACACAGTATTTATTTTACAGCCCTCTGATCCTTTACTATCTGGTACTTCATATGAGAATTTGTTTTTTTTTACACATACTGTATAGTTCCTTTAGTTTAATGATAATTAATCAACTTAAAAGGTGATGCATCATCAAATGAATTAGTTGTGAGTTAAGACTTGGTGAGACTGCAGATGACTACATGACATCACTGCCTGGGATATTTTTATTTCCTGATTTCAGACATATTCCTCAGTTGTGGCTGCAATTCAGCAACTACTGTCCTAGTAATACAAGTTACCTAGGCAGGCTATAACAATTGCTAGTCTTTACAGTCACTTTTACTTCATTTCTACTGTTACTTATACTGTCAAGTATTTAGGGTTTCAACTTATAGGCAGGGGTATTGATTGGGTGATTGGATTTATTGACAACTTATACACACCACTTGGAACTACAGGCACATACTAGTGTTCTCAGTCTTCACTAGTCATATCCTGGTAACAGATTTAAAACAGTGGAGATTCCTCAGCTTCCTGGTCATGCTGTTGCCTGCTAGTTAACACTCCACACCTGTACTCATAACGCTATCTTCTGAGCCTCCCCTGGTAGAGCCCAGTTCTTGACTAGCTGCTCACCTGGAACTCCAGAACTCTTCTTTATAACCACATTGCACAGACGAAATAGAAAACATAATTTCCAACAATACCCCCGTTATTGTGTGTTTAGTGATCCATTGCTTAGAAATGGGTTCTTCTATTGTGTGCATGTTCATTTCTGCAGGAACCTGGTTACGAAGTAGTTGCCTAGCAATAGGTGTCTCCTCTTGTTCCAATATTCTGACTTTCAGGCACCATGTCATAATATTCTTTCTTTATTTGCATGACAGTCAAACCACATTAATTATGATTCTTGGCATATTTCTCGTAAAGAACTTGTTCCATTCCACTCACCCGTATTTCATATTCTCTCTGTCCTGGCCATTTAAGTAACTCCCCTTCTCATAAACCCAGAGGCTACCTAAATCCCTATAGGTATATGTCCATATTCTGTCTCTGTAATCAATACTGTCACGTGTTTGGGTCACTAAGACGCGGGTTCGGATGGGTAATTGGATTTATCAATAACCTACTGTGACATGTTGACCCCTACCTCCCCAGCGGTGCGTGGCGGTGACGTAACGCTCGCGTTCTTACGGTAATAGGCGAGTTCCCGCCCCGCCACTCCCCTCCGCGGTGACGTCACCGAGGGATATCGCGGTCGCTAGGCAACGCGAATCAACAGCGGCGACGTTACGATAGTAACAGCGGTGACCTCCGCTAGCGTTACATAGCAACAGAGCGCCAGGCAAAGGGTGCCTATTACGTGGCCGTTTTCCCGTATTGTCCGATCGAGGCTACATAGGGAGAAGTGAAGGCTATTCACAGCCAGTTCTAGTGTGGCTACCAGCGAGTTCTACTGTAGCAGTCGGTGACTTCAGTTGTACCGAGTTGTACTGAGTCAGTCAGTGAGTCCTCGAGCTACCTCCGAGTTAGTGCCGAGCTAGCCAGCAACCTGTCAGTTGTATTGTGGCATTTGGAGTGTACTAATTGTGATACTGCAGATAGCAGTAATCGTAAATCTGTAATTTGGGTGATTGTAAGTGCGAATGTGAAATAAAATTCGCTACATCGAATACATCGAGAATTTATTTGTCGCGATATACGCCCGATACGCAACACTACAATTAATTATAACACAATTTACAATAACTCCACACTAATCTCTTCAGTCTATCTCCACTAGTCTTCACGGATTTATAACACAGAAACTCTCTAAATTACACACTCCTGATACCACTGCACTATAGCACACATAAAGTCTTCAAATCACGTGTAAAGTCTTCACTAGTGGACCTCTTGTACTCTTCTGTATTACTAGTTCCAATTCCCTCTCCCCTTGCTTGCTTGTTCGCATGCTTCTGTCATTGTTATTCACTCGTAACTGCCCTGCACTGAACTGGCATCTGAATTCACTTCTCTTATAAGCATCCTGCACAGACCACAAACAGAAAACACAGTTCTATTCTTGCATAAGGCAGACCACACAGAGAACAAGCCATGTGATTCCTAGCCATTGTCTTCACTGGTATGCTGTTGCCTAGCAGCAAGCAATAACATTTGTCCACTGAGACACATCTTCCATTGTTGAACGTTGACAGTGTTTACAGATCTGTTGCCTGGCAAGACACTATTCAATCTTTTACAATACTATGAATCTAACATCAACCATATGCTTCCCCTAATATAGGAGAACATAGTAAAATTAAAAATGACATGCCCCTTCTAACATGAAATTTTTTTTAGGCCGCGCCATAGCTCAAGCGGTTAGTTGCTGGCTTCCCACTGTGGTGGCCTGGGTTTGGTCAAGTGGGATTTGTGGTGGACAAAGTGGCACTGGGGCAGGTTTTCTCCTGCCAATCTTCATTCCAGCAATTGCTCCACAATCACCCTCACCTATCATCTGGGGCTGGTACAATAGGCCAGACGTGGCCGCAGTACAAGGGACTTAGTCCCACCCCACTAGCAACAGAAAAAAATGTAATTTTAGTAAAGTCTAGAAAGAACCAGGTAGACAGTGTTTCAGATGGGAATGAACGAAGCAGTGATATTGTGGCATGCTGCCAAAAGCTGGAATATCTGAGTCAGGGCAGGCATCCATTGCTAGACAATGGCTCAAAGTCACATTCGTGCATCATTGTCTGGGTGACAAACACGTCACGTGACAACACATACTGTGACGAGTGGCCCGAAAGCCACAACTTGCACATCTGCTGGGTGGACCTTCAAGGGGCATGTTCCCATGGTAACATGAAATACACTGTTACCCAGGGTTCTGATGGAGCTATTGGAGACACATCCATGGTAATGACATTCTAAACCAACTGTGACCACAGATATGACAAAACTGAACTCTTCAAGGAGGAGATTCGTATCCCATCTGCCTAAAGGAATAAAGGGGAGCAGAGCAGAGTACAGAGTTATAATTGCAACTAAGAGTTCAGAATTGAAGGCACAGAACAGAAGTAAGAGGAGAGTCCAGAAGACCCAAGGTGCAAGACGCAGACAACAGTGAGGGATTCGGTATCCAGAAATAGTTGAATGTGTGAATTACTGTAACCAAGTGTAAATGTGTTAGTAAAGTCCAATAAACCCAACAATCAAAACTAAGAATCCACAGTGTCATGGAAACCTGGACACGTGACAGTATCTTTCCTTTGAAAGTATAGGATTGTTAAAAATACGTAACCTCCTCCTCCTTCTTTACTGGTCCTATGACCCTGTGTGGGTCTTGGCCTCCTCCATTCTTTCATAACAGTACATTTTTCTGGCGTTGGCTTTAGTCCCATGTCCAACCCCCAACCTAGAGAACCAGTAACATTAGCACAGACTAATTCAAATTGACTGATTATTCATGTAGCTTATAACGTAAGTGTTCTTGAAGAACATCATCGCATAGAACAGGAAGTCCCAAGTGGAATGATTTCATATTTTCAATGTAGCAGTCTGAATGCTATTCGCATACTGAGGGGTGGAGACCAGCTGGGTCCACTCAGAACGTTGGCCACTGTTTGGCTTATCGTAACCTGCCCCAGGTGATTATGATGGTGGAATGAAGATTGGCAGGGGAAACCAAAGTACTCGGAGAGCCACTTTGTCCACCACAAATTCCACTTGACCTGACCCAGGTACCAACCCAGGCCGCCGCGGTGGGAAGCTAGCAACTAACTGCTTGAGCTATGGCACGGCCTCTAGTCTGAATGCTATGTGCCATTTTCCACTGCTCTGACTGTAATTAAACTGTTCAATGTTTTAATTTACAAACACAGTTAAAGTCTACATGGTCTTATGTTGCAGGCTTCATTAGCCATGGATCTGTTCGCAAGAGTAGTTATCCGAGGCGATCTTAAAGAACCTTCCATGACAACATTAGCTATAAATTTGTGGAATCTGGCCCACAGACATGGTCATATAGATCCAAAACTATCAGTGAGTATTTCCATACTGGCCTTTTCCAGTGTGTTTAATCAACCTGTATTTTTTTCCAACTTTGAAAAAACACACTTTTCAGTGTGTGCTGGAAATATGTAGCGTGAATTTCAAATGAAATATCTTTACAGGAAGACACCTTGAGCTGTTACATTCCTTAATACATGAATGAGTTGTGGTCCATTAAGTGCAACAAGTTTAATATTATATTTAAGCATCCTGTTGCATTAATATATAATTTACTTCATACATGTTTCCTTTTTAAATGCAACTTATTGTCTAGTCGCCCTTCTTCCTCACTACATGTTTCAGCTAAAATTGTTGCACTGTATGTCAAACTTTTGTATCACATGTGAACTGGATAGTTCCAGATTAAAATAAATTGCCCTTAATTAAAATTAACTAACATCCCAATGTTTTCCTTATGGTCATCGCCTGTTTAAAATATCTACATACACAGACCAATTAACAACTCAACTAGTCTGGCAGTGAGGAAGGACCTACAGGCAAAGATAACAAAACTGATCATAAACACATCAACATCCCTGCACAAATAACACGTATAATATCCATGCCACAAAGAGCATGCTGTGCAAATAAATGCAGAGTAAATATATGTGAAGTAAATTATATTCTCATATTTAATTTGTTCCACCTGATGAACTTTACTGTTCACTTATGTTAAATGAAACAACTACTTGTTCAGTTTGATTCAAGAACAAATTTTAAAAACAAATAAGTTTTCATTTTCAATTCCACAGTTCCCAACTTTGTTACCACCACCATTATTATTATTATTATTATTGGAGGGGGTGGGTTTCCCCATGCACTTAGACCAGTTATAGCGGCCTCCGTAGTCTAGAGGTAACGTTCCCACCTCATGACTTGTAGTACGCAGGTTCAAATACCCGGTGGAGGTCGTCAAATTTTTAAGGGCAGAAAAATTCAGGGAACAAGTCCTCCGGGATGGACTTTAAGCCATGGGTCCCGTGTCGTAGCTTTACGGCACGTAAAAGAACCTCATACCTCCAAAGGAGGTCACCGAGCAAAATTGCGGACATTTTCCGCCCAACAGCAGTCACTAATACCTCCAGTAGATGGGGGAAGCATTATAGATACTTCTCAGCCGGTAGAGCCGGTCTTNCCCCATCTACCAGAGGCATTGGAAACTACTTGGGCGGGAAAGTTTTTACCTAATAATTTTGCTCAGAGGTCTCCTAGAGACATGAGGGTCTTTCATGTTCTGTAAATCTACGACATGGGACTCACGGCTTAAAGTCCCTCCCGGAGGACTTGTTCCCTGAATTTTTCCACCCTTAAAAATTCCACAACCTCTGCCGGGTTTGAACCCGCATACCTTGAGTTATGAGGTGGGAACGTTACCTCTAGACTACGGAGGCTGCTCAACTTTGTTACCATAGTATACAAAGTACAATATCATATTTATTTATTAAAAAATTAGGTGTTTTCTTAACAAATAGGATATTCATACTAGTACAATCTTCACATATAATAAGCATCTCTTCTGTCAGAAGGACAGTCATTTCAGCCACAAAAAATTAATTTCATGAGGTAAAAGGAAAACCACAGACATGTAATTCGCTTGTCTCTAGAGCTGATGATGAAAGCAAACTGTTATTCAATGAAGACAGGAAAATCATGCTATGAGAAATTAAAATCAAATACGGGTATATAATCCACACATTGGGTAAACAAACCATGCTTTCAGATGTTTACAGAGTATTCATGCATAACCATTTTAATTTCATTCCTCTCTCTTGTTCTGTGCGTGGAGAAGGCCCGAACTTTGGAATATCTCAAGAAGAAAAGTATGCAGCCAGGGGGAAACCTATATGCAGATTTGGTGAAGAAACTCCATATGCAGACTTCGTAACCAAACTCCAATGTAAGACGGTGCACAAGATATTGAAAATATAATATATAATGCTATTTTGTTATTCAGTAAGGAAGAGGAACATCACTGGAAATTTGTGATACTAAAATTGCATTTATGCTGTTGCCATTTACTGCATTTGTTACAAGAAAAATTCTCTATGTACATCAATACGTGGTATAATCTAACATGTATCCATTCTACTTGTATATATAAATTAAGAATGTGTATTCTTTCATATCACAATTTATAAATGATGGTTGGAAAGAAACAACAAAGGTTGTACATAATTTTTTATTGGAATATAAGAGAATTACAGCCCTGTCAATACAGTTCTCAAACATGCAGTTAACACTTCGCAGACCGGCGATTTAAATATTTAAATCACCCTGGGGACCGGCATTTTTAAACCTACTACCCTAACTTGTGCACTGTTCACTTTAAAAATTAATATAATATCTCCTAATTAATCACTAAAATTTTTGCAGAACACTTACCAGTGCTCCAAGAAGTGCTTGAGAGTGTGATATTCTGGATACATTCCCCTTTGTGAAGTGGCATTACACAGAACTTGCACATGTAGACAGTCATACTCCTTTTGTTGTGTACTGCGCAAACATGGCATCGCCTAGAAGGCTGCTTCCCCTTGGCATGTTCACTCTTCACAATTTTCACTAGGGTATGTTTCTGCATATCACCCGAGAGTCGCTCATGGGGGTCCACATGAGGCCTGCGTGGGGTGGGAGTTGATGGACCTGGTCGCACTAAGTCTGTGTCTGCCGCCACCGTCTGGTCTGTAGCCCAGGCTTTTGCCACATTCAGCAGAAATGCCTTGTATTTCAATTTTGAATGAGGGTTTAGATTTTTGAAAACCAAAAATGAATTGAAAATGGCACAATTTATAAGCCACAAGGCAACTTTCTTTGTCTACTTTACTGTTTTCCGAGGAAGAGAATAATAGGTCAAGTACTGTTTGGTCTATCAACTCCCTTCATGAACATATTATACTCGGAAATACAAACAGGCTTCTTTACCTGTCCATGTCTCCTTTGAACATCAACCATGCTCGAATTGTGAATTGTGGAAATCATATTCACAACACGAGTATCCCTCCAGGACTGAAGAAGAATATCCCCCTTCCTCCTGAATGTGGTTTCACCACGTTTCAGGGATTTAGATTCCTCTTTCAGATCTGGAGGAAGGCTCCTGTTCACCCTAACTGTTCCACAGACACGTAATTTTCTCAAAAGTAGGTGTTCTGAAGTTGCCACACTGTTATAATAATTGTCTTGATAGACATGGTAATTTTGATCAAGGCAGGGTTCCAAAATGGAAAGGATAGTTTCTTGTAATTTCTTTCCTTCACCAGAATAAATTTATAAATTTCCAATATAACCTGAAGTGCTTTCAGTAAATACACGAAAAAGTAAGCCATAGTTTGCAAGTTTCCCAGGATTCTATGTTTGCATACGAAGCCTTCCCCTCCAAGGAATCACAGGTTTGTCCAAAGACAGTTGTTGGTTTGGCTTATAAACTGTCTGAAATTTCTGATCAAAAAAGTTCAATAAGGCCTGAATTTTGAAAAGCCTGCTTGTTGATTATGGTTGCAGTTCATTATCATTGAAATGCAAACACCACCAAATCTGCTCAAATCTCTTACGGCTCATTAGTTTGCCGAAAATTAGAATTTCTAAAAATGGATCTGTTGACCAATACTCTTTCAGATTATCCCTCCTTGTATGGCCCATTAGAAAGATTACTGCAAAAAGTTTTCTCATTTCTGCTGAAGTGACATCCACCCACTTCAACGCCTTATAACTTCTGTCATAATGTTGATGGTGTTGGAGACAGTATCTGTTAGTTTCCTGACATAGCATGTCAAAGAAACTATCTCCAAAAACCAGTTCCGCTACTTCAGACACTTGCGTTGGGTCTGATGGAATTTGCTTCACCCCTGGATTTCCAGTAAACTGTCCCAAGCAGGCGTTTTGTCTACTTTTTCCCCATGTGGCTGTCCCTGCAATGTTGCTACCCGCACTTTCGTCGGAGCTACTGTCACTGTCACTGTCTGTGGCCACAATTTTTTGTTCACCCCTGCCACATGCTCTATCAGATTGTGAGTTGTTATCACTAGCAGACTCAGAAGGGATGTCAGATAGCTCATCGGAGAACAAGTCAGATATTTCTTGTTCTCTGAGAAAACGCTTGGACCTCAACCTCTTCCGACCTTGATCCATTTTGCACTAGTAACTTCCTGCCTGATGCATGCAGCTGGAAGATGAACAAAGGCATTTTCTTTTGGAGTGGGAACGGAAAACAGTTGGGTCATAAACAGCAGGGTCATGTTACCAACTACGAAGCAAATATTCAAGAGGTCTATCACGCACCAGTCATGCGTCTGTCTGGCGCCAGTGCAAGGTATAGTGTGTTTCAACATAACATGTCCTAAAATCATAATAATATGCCACCAGTCCACCATGTTTAAAAGCGCTGGGCATAAAAATATGCCACCAGTCCGCAAAGTGTTAACTGTGTTCTCACACATGTGAAAGATAATATTTGTATCATCAGACTCACCTCCATGTTAGGGATCATCCTACTCATTGTTTGATATATTCTCTCTGCTTCTTCTGAAGAGGTTCCTCTGTCACTGGGAGGAGACTGAAGTCACAAGGTCTCATATGTGGGGAACATAGTGGGTGCTCAAGTGTTTCCTACAGTAACTATATTGGAAGTACTCTGATATAGGCAGCCACATGATTGTGCTTTCTTTGTCTTGCAATACAGTCAATGGAACAGTGGATCCATGCTGTAATGCCAGATGCAGATGATGCTCCAGGAATTCATGATGGTGCTCTGTTAACAGTTCAGTCTTGTGGGGCTGCAGAATATGTGAAATTGTAAATGCAGATGGTGCTCTAGAAAATGTGCTGACATTCTGGTTTTGTGGAAGTGCATGGCATAGTATGACTCTTGAATCAGTACATCCCTGATGGTACTTGATTATTGACAAAGTTTCTTTATATGAAGGTAGTGCAGGTGGTGCCATTCATCTGACTGTCACTTTAGTTCTGGTTCACATGACAGTGCCCATGGTTATGATGCAGTCCATGAATGCATGCCTGTCTCTGGTAATGTTCCAGAATATAACTGCCACAATGGCTCCTTGGGTGATGGAGGAACAAATGTTTGATTCTGCACATTCTGAGGATTTATTCTGGGATGTACAATGCCCATGTCTGTAGCTATGAACAGAAATTTTATCAACTGGAACACATACCATGCAATGAACCAACTATCTGGAGCAGAACCCCTCTTAAGAAGCTAAGTCACTCAGCCATTCAAGAAATTCATTGCCTTTTATGGAACCCACAGATTCGTTACTGCCTCCTTACTGTCGTGTGTCTGTTTTGAATCAGATGATTCCATTCCACACTCTCCCACATATTTCTCTATGCCTAGGTCTTCCAAGTGGTGTCTTCCCTTCAGGTATTGAGATAAAAATTTTGCATGCATTTTTCTTCTTTCTCATGCATGTTCACATGCCTTTCCATATCATCTTCCATAATATGATCCCCCCAATAATTTTTTTTATGAAGAGTATAAATTATGAAGCTTCTCATTATGCAATTTTATCCATCTTCCTGACACTTCATTCACTCGTTGGGTCCAAATACTCTCAACACCCTGTTCTCAAACAAATTTGAGTTACTTTTGTTTTCTTATTATGAGAGACCAAGTTTCACACCCACAAACACAACTGGTAAATTATATAGCAATTTTGAATATTTTAATCTTTACATTCCAAGATGGTAGATGGGAAGACAAACTATTCTGAACTGAAGGTAATAGGCATTCCCTAAATTTAATCTGCTCTTAATTTCATCATGATGCAAGTCTAATTTGTTAGTTGCTCTCAAGTAACTTAATTTTGTGTATACTGAATATTTTTAAGGATTTTTTTCTTTAGCTATCATCATTTATGATTTTGAACATACACTCCATGTGCGTGCTAAACTGGAATGTGGGAGACAGTTACTGTGCAAGTAAAGGCAGTGATACACTCGAGAAATGGGAAATTGTATTATCATCATGCCTAATAACTGCTCTTATTAGTTCTTGAATGTATCTCTGTCTTTGTTGGCACATTAAGTTTCTCACCCACCTTCCAGTTTAGCAGGTACAACAGTCTCCTCACTAGCACTGAACAGAGCTCCTGCATTTTTCTTTGTGGTATACACTGCTTCCCAGATAAGAAGTTTCTGGATATTGTTGTAAAATAAACTAAATATGGTAACAGTTCAAATTAAATGGAACATAATAAGTTTGTGGGAGAAAGTGGAAGAAAATCAAAATAACACATATTAAGATGTTTGTTATTTTTATACAATTTTAGGTGGTCCATTACAATTTGTTTTATTAACTTTTTAGTGTTAAACTAAAAAAAAAACAGTTCTGGTGCTTCCACTGTATTTCAAGGTTGCCCTGATAATACACATTTGTTATTTTAGTAACTGAAATATTATGAAACTGCTTGGGATCAAAGTATACAACTGGATAAAAAGCAAACTTTACATTTCTCTTGTAGGTTTTCCCCTTTAAGAAGTTATTTTTCAAAGGTTCTGTGGAAAACTCATTTGGGAAACATTGTACATGTTTTGGCCTAATAAATTATTTACAGACCAGAAGCTGACATCCCATTAAATACTACTTATTCTTGGTCTTCTTGGAGTTTCATAATAGCATATTTGAAGTTTTGAAGCAATGGAATTGAAGCCTCTCCTTGTTTCAGACCATTATGAATAGAAACAGCATCAGAAAAATGCAGGCAGACCTATTCATAGCCAGTGCTGTGAGAACCTCAAATCCTATATGGAACAGAAAAGTGTTCAACTATACATACTTTACTATGGATTTCATTTAAACACATACTGTTTAACATATCTAATTCAATGAGAATGTTGTATAATACAGCAATTATATTTAAAGCATTCTGGCAATCACGTAAAACATTCTATTCACCTAAATATGGAAACAGAACAAATTTCCAAAATGCAGAGGTTTTAATAGGCTCTGATGATGGACAAAGTAAAAAAATAATAGCTTTACACAATACATTACTTCTCTCCCCAAAAAGTTTTCTAGTCTGTATATACTTAATGCACTAACACCATAGAGTTAATCTTGACAGTATCATCATTAAATGTTACAAATGAGATAAAAACTAAAGTACACTTCATTTTTAGAAGTCCCCCATCCCCAGCACAGGTAAGATAAAAGCCAGATAAAAGTGCAAATTAAGAAGACCACTGTATTATGTTAATTTGTAGGTGTATCAGCAGCCATTATATTAGACAATGTTCCAACAGTGCAGTGCTTGCCTCAATATACCCAGTCCCTTCTTTTGGATTATACTCAATACAACACATTGCAGACACATACTTAAAGAATCTATTTGAAACACATCTTACATATACAACTTATTTCACAGATATAACAAATAATACTTCACCCTTTGCCCATTATAATTTAACAGGGGGAGGGGTTAAGAACAGGAAAGGAATTTTTACAGAGTGGATAATTTTTAGTCCAGTGTGACATACAAGTTTACAACACTTCAGTCTTTTTCACCTTACATGCTTCGATTCAAAAGAATCATCCTCAGAGGCGCACCGCTACTATCAGGAAATACTGTCACATAAGATGTTTTAACCTTATGCACTTAAGCTATGAATAATGCTCACTATATAAATTTTGTTATTATCCCGGTTGGTTTTGGTGTTTGTCCCAGGCATTCACGACGGCGCTTCTTGAAGAGTAGACTTAACGTATGATGCTGTTTCTTTTAGGCGTATTTGCTGGGTATTCTGACTGGGATTTTTCACTGCACGCTATATGATATTCACTTTTCATATATTAGCCTCCCAATGTATTTAAAATTGCATTAAAATTTTCTTTTGCATGTAAAAAATTAGTTATTATGTTACGAGTAAAATATCGTGAGCCGACATTGGGTCATGTTGTTTTCCTCCTGATGGTGGGAGATGTCGTTTATTTTTCTTGATTTTATGTTCTGTAAATATATAATATAGAATAAAATAAATTAACATATTAATATATTTACAGAACATAAAATCAAGAGAAATAAACGACATCTCCCACCATCAGGAGGAAAACATGACCCAATGTCGGCTCACGATATTTTAACATAATAACTAATTTTTTACATGCAAAAGAAAATGTTAATACAATTTTAAATACATTGGGAGGCTAATATATGAAAAGTGAATATCATATAGCGTGCAGTGAAAAATCCCAGTCAGAATACCCAGCAAATACGCCTAAAAGAAACAGCATCATACGTTAAGTCTACTCTTCAAGAAGCGCCGTCGTGAATGCCTGGGACAAACACCAAAACCAACCGGGATAATAACAAAATTTATATAGTGAGCATTATTCATAGCTTAAGTGCATAAGGTTAAAACATCTTATGTGACAGTATTTCCTGATAGTAGCGGTGCGCCTCTGAGGATGATTCTTTTGAATCGGAACATGTAAGGTGAAAAAGACTGAAGTGTTGTAAACTTGTATGTCACACTGGACTGAAAATTATCCACTCTGTAATTGTGATGGACCAAAATGAGACAAATCAAATTAAAGGAATATTTATTGAATGCAGTAAAATATTTCAGCAACTGCATTTAATGGTTATCTGGAGGGGAAGATTTCCAAGCACCTGGCAATATGATATGAATGACATGAACAAAGGGTTAAACAAAAAGAAACATATTATAAAAAATAAAAAAAAAAAAAAAAAAAAAAAAAANAAATTTCAAACCCCATGAAAAAAAAAAAAAAAAAAAAAAAAAAAAGGATAAAAAAAAAAAAAAAAAAAAAAAAAAAAAAAAAAAAAGCACAATGGCTAAAGCAATTTTGGAGTAGTGGTTTTATCATGTAGCACAAGTCATTAAATATAGTACACATAGAAACTAGCACATGACATGTTTTGTCAAACCTTAACACTCTCAACATGGGGGACACTGAACGGCTTCAGTCACACATTTATCACACCCAATTCAATTAAGTTTTCTCAGTCTTACTGCCTTAGACAAGTGGTTCTGTCATTTTCTTTTTGAAATATCTAAAGAAATGAGCCTCTNCTTTCCTTTGCTGGTTAAAGTAATACACTGATATGTTGGGATTTTGGACTTTATCCATCGTCCTGGTTTTTAAGATAACAAATAAAAACACGACGTTTCGGAAACTGGATCTGTTTCCGTCCTCAGGTGAAGGAAAACACCTATTCAGTTGGGTCCCTTAGAAAGAGCTAGCCTCAATCACTTGTCCAGTTCTAAGGGACCCAACTGAATAGGTGTTTTCCTTCACCTGAGGACGGAAACAGATCCAGTTTCCGAAACGTCGTGTTTTTATTTGTTATCTTAAAAACCAGGACGATGGATAAAGTCCAAAATCCCAACATATCAGTGTATTACTTTAACCAGCAAAGGAAAGCACAAAAGATCTTGGATGACCCAAAATGCTGTAAGACAGTAGTCTCTATCACAGATACAGCAAGTATGTTCAAAGGATAAATATAACATATGAGGTCCAACTCAAAATATTTCCACACTGGATTTTTTTATGTAGCAATGCTGAAGTGTGGAATGCATGGAAAGACAGTTCTATAATTCACTGCTGTAATTGTGTTTCTAGCTTTTGATACTTGGTAGAATTTATAACGTTTTATTCTTTCATTTATCATAAAAATCAACTCCAAGTTTTAAAAGAGAAAGAACCAGTCTCAATTTGTGTCAAACTTGGAAAAAACTATACAGAATGTATAACATGATGAAAATATACTGTGATGAGGAAATGTCTAAAACACGAACCTTTCATGGATACAAAAGATGTCAAAGGCACTGGTACAATAAAATGTAAGACTTCAAGCTTTCATTAATGAATGAAGTCCTCTCAGGCAGTCAGCTGTTTCAAGATAGAATGCATTTGTTTTGGAAACCATTAGTGCCTCTATCATCACATCTCTGAAAATGGAGATAGTAACAGCATCCAAAACACTGGAAATCCATTGTCTTAATACAAATGACTGTCCAAGAAGACTGCCTTTAGCTGACCACTTAAACAAGAAAGTCTGTGCAAAAATAGTTCCAAACATTGACCAATGATCAAAAACTGACACAGGAGGAAACATACTCCCATCTTATTCATCAAGTTCAAAATGAAAATGCCATCAAATGTAACTCACTGTTGATGCAACTTTGCCGATGCTTCAAAATGTCCCATCACGGAAATGTTACAACTGTCAACGAAAATCACTGGAATCTTCAATGCCCAAAAAAGTGCACATTATACAACTCTGAAATGGACTTAATGTTATTCCTTTCATATATATTCCTACTCAAGGACTACCTACAACCAACCCTTGCTACTCACCAGTAAATGGTGTAAGCCTCTGCCTGGGCAGGATCTTTAATATTAGGCTCATTCAGAAGATCTTGAATTCCAAGAAGGATCTGCTTAATAGTAATTGCTGGGCGCCAATCTTTCTCCTCATCCAACAATGACAGGCACACAGTACCTGTAATCATCACAGATGTTAGAAAGATTTTTTTTTTCACTGGTTCTACAGTCCCCTTGGGCCCTGGCCTCTGATTTCTCAGTTTCCTGACCACTTTCACAGACAGTAGGACTCTTTGGATGAGTGATCAGCTAATCACAAGGCTTCTACCTAAACACAGGACAACACAAACACGGAATAAACAAATACACATACCAAACATCCATGCCTTGTGTGGGATTCGAACCCACAATCCCGGCTTCCAAGCGAGCAAAGACAGTACATGCCTTAGATCGCTCGGCTACCGTGACCGGCTGTTAGAAGGAGTATCATCCAAAACTAACCCTTTAAAAAATTAAGTTCCTACCTCACAGGAAACATGCTGTGTCATCTCCATTATAAAGACCAATTAAGTATTTATTGTTAGTCATGTAAATAATCACTGTTTATTCTAAAGATCATATGAAACACATAAATACACTATGTGTGCAAAATGCAGAGGTTTCTTTAAGTTAAAGCAGATGGTCTATATAGTAATCATTGGGTTTGAAAGGGTTAAATCAATAAAAACTCAGGGTATCGGTTTATCACAGTATATTCATATTGTCATGTGTATGAGTGACTCTCAATGGGGTTTTGGATTGGATTTCCCGACCACTTCAACAAATGATCTTTGACTATGTAATTACAGTGCCATCACTAATTTCCATACTTTACAATTCACTGCAACGCAAAGTCTTCTCTGAATGGTGGCCCCCTTCCAACTGAACTCACTGAATACCATTAGTAACTAAGAGCTTGTCAATTATGTGAAATATTAAAAATGAGCCGGGATAGCATAGTTGGTATAGCGACTGGCTATATGATGGATGATGGAGGGGTTGGAGTCCGAGTTCTAGTGGGCTCAAGAACTTTCTCCACGTCATCCAGACTGACCCTGGGGCCCACCCACCTATCCAATGGGCACCATGGGGGGGGGGGCTTCCCCAGGGGGCAAAGCAGCCAGGGTGTGAAGCTGACCACTCACCTCCAACTAGTGCTGGGGTCAAGAAAATATGGATCAGGTGTATGCCTTCATGGCATAGTACAGGGACAACTTTACCTTTTCACCTTTTTTTCATCCATTCAGAAGAATGTCAGTTAATTGTGTTTCTGGCCATATCACTTTATAGATGAAACATATACCGAAGAAGTGGAACCATGTTCTGGAGCTTGGAATAGTCTGGTCAGCATACTAACTGGTCAAACCCGAATCATTATTTCATGAAGGACTTATAACAGCACATTCACAATTTTTTTAATACATAAATACTTTCCATGGAGGTAAAGTGGCAGGGGCATGAAGCTGATCACTCACCTCCATCTAGTGCTCAGGTTAAGAATGGTGGAGGTACATCTCCACTTCCCAATACATTTCATTAACTAAGCCCAGGGATAACATTATCTTTTTACCTTTTTTTTTAATGCTGTGGGGTGGGACTAAGTCCCTTGTACTGCGGCCACTTCTAGCCTATTGTACCAGCCCCAGATGATAGGTGAGGGTGATTGTGGAGCAATTGGTGGAATGAAGACTGGCAGGGGAAACAGAAGTACTCGGAGAAAAGCTGCCCCACCGCCACTTTGTCCACAAATCCCACCTGACCAGACCCGGGTTCGCGGTGGAAAGCCAGCGACTAACCGCTTAAGCTATGGTACGACCATCTTTTTACCTTACTCAGTATCACTATGAGGGAGTATGTAAATAGGTCACAAATGGATATAAAATGTAAAACATGTGACATTTGAATCCAGGAAAAACATTTAGTTCTTGACGTATTCTCCACAAACATTGATACACTTGTGCCATGCTTTACCAGTGCACTGAAATCTGCAGCACAGAAATCTTTTGACTCTTGTCTCAGCCACTTCTGCACCTCTGTTTCAACCTCTTTGTCAGCAGCAAAACATCTGCCACCAAGGTGGTTTTTAGTGGACCAAATAGATGGAAGTCACTAGGGGCCAAGCCTAGGCTGTAAGGTAGTTCTTGAATTCTCTCCTGGTTTGATTGGACTATATGGGGTCTGGCATTGTCATGATGCAGTAGTACTCATCTTGCCATTTGGCTGGACGTTTTCTGTATATTGCATCCCAAAGCTTCAACAGAACTTCAAGGTACAATGCAGAATTCACATTTTCAGCACACTTCTAATAATGGGCTAAGAGTACTCCCTGTGAATGATGGTGTAACCTCAATCTTCAAGCTTTTTGGTTGAAGGTGAACTGGGATGTTTCCACTGCACTGAAGCATGCTTTGATTAGGGCTGGTAGTGATGCACCCATGATTCGTCCCTGGTAACAATCTTGTTAAGCGTATCTTCTCCTTCATCTACATACTGTTAAAAGATGCTACAAGACCAGATCCATTTGGTTCATTTTTTCTCAGTCCTTCAGTTCTCTGGGCACCCGCTGTGTGCACACTTTCCGAAACTTCGAACGATCATGCATTATGCTGTATGCTAAACCGTGGGAACACCCTTGTGCAGTTGCTACATTGTCTATCGTTATCCTCCTCTCAGCAAGAATCAACTCTTTCACCCACTGTTCAGTTGCTTCTGTCACAATCTCAACATGGCCACCTGGTCCTCTGAACATCCTTGAGAGAATTTCTTGATCCAGTTGTGAACCACTTTACACAACAAACACCTCCGACTGTAAACAGGAAACACTTCTTCATGAATATCCTTTGCATTGAGTCATATGCCCACAAAAAAACGCACAACAGAACACTGCTCTTTGGTAGTACACTCCTCAAGCATAGTCACCATTTTGACTACCAAAACCAGCTTCTGAAGATGCACGTGCACATCTGTAACCTAGACTGTCATGAAGGTGGACTGTACTGCCACCTAGCGATACACATAGGAAACGTATAATGTCCATTATGGCTGTTTACTTCTGCTTGAGACCTATTTACTGACTCTCCCTCATATTTCATGGACAGTGTAAACGGATTCCAGTATCCAGATGGACAATGAAATTCTTAATCTTTTCAAAACTGACTGTCCTCAGTCATATGGTCAATCTTTTTCATAAACAGCACAAGTAACATGCACCAGGTTTCATAAATAGACTTGGAAGGATTCTGACGATGGTGTATGCTGTACAGAACTATTAAGGTTATTTTGGACTCTATCCATCGTCTGGTATATATATATATATAAGACAATTTGAGACAGATTCAGTCTCTGAAACGTTGTGGTTTTTTGTCTTATATATACCAGACGATGGAGAGAGTCCAAAATAAACTTGATAGTTCTGTACAAGGTTTCATATTCCATGCAAATAGCCTTGTGCTGAGATTTCTTTACAGTTTTATGTCAATCACATCAGCGTAACAGGACAATATGGATCAACAAAAGCACAGAAATTGTTTACTTTGTATGTGGTTTGTGAGCTGCAGGTTGTCAACCCTAACCTAATATCACCAACAACTTCTATCCATACTGTACATACGCATAATCAAAGGAGCTAGGCATACAACCATGAGCCACTGACCAGGTAAAACACATAAATTGTACTTCACTGTGATTTAATTTGTGTACACACACAATGAAATTTCTTTAACTGGCAGCTCTTCTCAAATTATACAAATGAAAACTCTCCAGAATGTTTAATAATGAATATCTAATGTCTATTACTGACTAATCCTAGGTCCCAAACTCCCAAACTTTGGTTAAAAATTTAAGGAACGTAG